TATATATATATCCTAGAGCCAGCCAGATAGCTCAATGGATTAAAGTGCCTGCTTAGGCAGAACACAGTGGCCTGGGTTCAATACCCAGCAATGCTGAGCTGACCACCCCCCCCCCGGGGTGGCTGAGATGATGATTGACACTGGGCATGGTGGTGTGCACTTATAATCGCAGTGCTTGGGAGGCTGAAACCAGGAGAATCACTATGAGTCTGATCTACATAGTAAGACCCTGTGGACTCTGTACTAAATACTTTTTTTAAAAAAGATATGTCCTAGAATGTTCACTAAAGCTTCATTTGTAAAAGTTGAATCAATTTATTTTGGAATATTTGTATAATAGAAACCTATACATCCATCACTGATCTATAATTACATATAGCAACATGGATGGATCTCAGAAATGTAATTTTGAGTAAAAAAGGCTACATGAAAACACATAATCCCATATATATGAAGTCTAAAAATAATAAAAAGTTATTGCTGTCCAGAATCAGAATAAAAGTTATCTTGGGTAAGTAGAAATGATTGTGTAGTGATGGACAGCCATTGAGGGTAAGGCAAACCTTCTAGGTTTGTTGGCAGTGATGGTAAACCTTTTAGAGACTGATGCCAAACTACAACCCAAAACCCATTTATCACAAAGGTCTACACTTCAACTAAACTTGAATAGTAAAGTTTAGGTTTAGGAAAAAAAAAGCTCTACATCATAATTTTTAAGTTTGTATCTATTAGCACATGTTTACAGTACATAATTACTATATATTTTTAAAGAAAATAAAAATAATAAAAACATTAGAGATGATACAAAAAAGATAATAGGAATTCAACAATGGTTGTAGCTAAGACAACTGTACTTCTCATTTCAACTGGTCTATTGAAGGAACAGTTAATGTTTAACTTTTTTTCTTCTTTTTACATATTTTGACCGATTTTGCATGCTTATGTCTCAACAACTAATCTGAAGACAACACTACACATTATCCTCTTTTGTCCTCAAAGAAAAACTCAGTGACACATGCATTTTAGAATTACCATCACTGTTCTGGGGTATTAGTAATGTTTTTTTAATCTGAGTATGAGTTCCATGAATCTGCTGAATTTATAAAAAATTATTGAACAGTGCCTTACAAGACTAGTAATATATGTACTTTTGTTCATGTATTTTGCTTCCATATTTTAAGTCTGTGATACTTACAATCCTAAGTCATACCCCTTTTCTCTATATTGTTTCTATATACTTGAAAAAGCTTGAGAAATTTGTATATATTTATGCAGTTAAATTTTCTACATGGATAAACTTAACTTTCCTAACAATTCTTTTAGAAGCTGAACAACTGTAGTAGAATATTTCAAATTTGCTAGGCCAGTTATACTGTTGGATGTCATTTGGAGCATTAGTTCTTAGTATTACTTTTGGGCTTGGATAGGTTTACCATGGTTTATAACATTTAGTCAAGACAAAAGAGAGCACTGATAAGAAAAAGTCACTGCTTTTGTGAAACCTGCAATAAGGCACAGTTCTGAGGCATCTGTACCAACACAACTTCCAGTTAATGACACTCTTCCAGGAAATTCTCTTCTGTCAACTTCAGATACTGCAACTCTGGCTTGCTCACCAACTTAGACCATGGGCTCTTATTCTTTGAATTTGGAGAAAGCATTATTAAATCAGGTTTTATATCCAACATCTCAAATGGACTATGCAAATGCTTCCAATATGAAGTTTTACTTTTAATTATGATTTTCTGCTACATTTTAAACATAGGTATTGTACTCACTTTATTTCCTATCTTACCTAAAACACAAGTTCATGTGAACTAATTCTATTTTGGTTCCATGCATGTAAACTGACATGATTCCCAAGAACTTATTCCAAGTGAAATTTTAGTGTAAAACTTTCACAAGTTCCTTGATCAATAACTTTACTATTTCTACATATTTTGTGAAAAGTATATAATGGTACATTTTAGATGTTTCCCAGAAATATGATAAAAGATCTAATTTTTGAAGAAAACTTCTAACAGTGAGAAGCATACTAAATCGAATCAATCCGACCTCCTGTTGTATAGTTTTTCAACAAGCTAAACTCTTTATGTCTTCAATTTAATTGATTTGCCAAGTATTTTCCCAGACCATAGTGTGTCTTTGGCTAGCATGCTGAAAAAGCTTGGGCACTAAACTTTCAAAGAACCATTTTCAGTATATATCTTGTTCTCAGCATGCAATATGTCTAGTAGCATTTATTAAACCTTTCCTTTGTCACTAGTGTTAACACCCTTTGCAACCCTTATGATAGCCCATTTGTTTTATTAACCACCTTTGATACTGGGGGCAACTAAGGCACAGTTTATTTACATACAGCCCCCACACTTGCAAGTCATGGTAATTCCATCCCAGGCACTGTACCTCTACAAGTACTCACTATGCTATGCTGCCTACTGATGAGAACTTTAGTACAAAGGCAATACAAGCCACAGTATTTTGAATCTTACCCTTGCCACAGTTCACTAAGATTCTACTTCTGACTTCTTGACTGCAATGGAAATGCCAGTCCTGCCTTTAGTCTGTAGACAGAGCACTCTCACTTCCTTTCACAATCTTAAAGGATGGGGGCTTTAGATTATTCAATATCACCACAGAGGGCTCTGGGATCACAACTCAGAATTGAATTTTGATGCTTCTTTATTCTTTAATTTCTTGGGGAGATAGTCTTTTGTTTTTTAAGATAGAATCTCACTTGCAGTTCAGGCTAGCCTTAAACTTATGGCAAACTCCAGCCTCAGCTTATTGAGTGTTAGGATTAGTGGTGTGCCCCATTACAACCAGCAGAGAATTTTAGATCACGCAAACTGTGTTTGAACATGCAGTACTGGGATTATAGGCATGTGCCATCACACGCAGGTTTAATTCACTCTTGAATTCTACTAGGTTTCAGCTTGAAGTATCATTTTAGAGATGATAAAGTTAAAGAATTGATAGCACACAGACTTTGAAAACAGCACAAAGCAAATCCTAAAGTTTCGGGGGTTCTAAATTCATAACAAGGGGCTGGGGAGATGGCTCAGTAGAATAACTGCTTGCCTAACAAGCTTAAGGGCGTGAATTCAATCCCCAGTTCTGCAAATAAATAAATACATAAATTCATAACACAGTCAAAATTTATCAAATTGTTAATTAAGATGTTTTCTGATCCACACAAAAACATAAAATCCATTTCTAAGACTTTCAGTATCATTAGAAGAGCCAGACACTGTGTATTCTCTAAATTTATTTACAATTAATAAGTTAAAAAGCAAAGTACAACCAAATTGTAAATCTTAATTATATGCACATAGACTGTCCAGGAAAACACTTCAGTTCCATTACAAACAACCGCTTTCTAATGCACTTAAGACAAAAGTTTATCAAAAAATATTTTTAAATCAATGGATGTTAGGTATATATGTCCATTAAAAATTACCAATTTAAAGAGTGCTGTGGCAACTCTTAACTAAAAAACTTGAGTTCAAAATTGTTCTGATTATTTTGTATTGAAATATTTTTATTGAAGTTTTCTGAAAAATAGTATTATCATTTGCACATCGCCAACCAAAAGTATCAGCCACCAGCTTAAGTTACACTTGTCCAATAAGATACTCAAACTTAGACAAAATAAATACACACCACAACAGCAATACTTTGCACCACCAACAATGAAGCTTGCCCTCAACAATCATGTTACTGGTTTTAGTGACACAAAACTGAGTTGCTGGTTGTCAGAGAAGAGGATAAAAAAAGACATCAGGAATCTCAAAAGGTTATTAGAAGTGTCACTCAACACATTTAGGCATTCAAGTCAAAAATTAAATAAAAGAATACCAAGGTGATAAATTTCCTCCCAGCTTCCCATTCTGCATGTGCTATATGAAATGTAAGAGAAGGCAAGAGAACAAATAAAGTCATAAGACTTCTTCAAAAAGCTATACAAAACTAAACTACAGACTTTTAGAGGTCAGTTAAGTAGGTGCCTCATTAACTATGCCAAGTTTCTTTTCACACTTGGCCCAAAGGTACTCATAAAATACTTTTACTTTCCTATTAGTACACTAGTCAACTACATTTCTTCACATTTTAGACGTGACAAAGGGTCTGTTAAAGAAAACTTGGCAAAAATAAAAATATGTTTACAGCTTCACAAACTAGAAATGGCATAATTTTTAAATAGTCCATGAACCACATGGACTATTTTCTTGAATTTAGGATGGGCAATCAGAGCCAGAAAGTAAACTGACAGCCCAAGGAAGCTAGGGAAGCCAAGGAAGCGTTTATGCAAGTGCACTAAAGTAACAAGGCATAAGAGAACAAAATGTCAAGAACGTCACCTAAAATAAATGCATGACGTCACTGGTTGTTTTCAGTTGTTTGCTGAGGAAAGTTTTTCTCTCAACTAAAACTAATTTCAAAATCTTCTGCAAAACTATCTAGATAAGCTATATGTTGAAATTACATTCTAATATGGCCATTGGATTTATTTTTTAGTTATAAAACTATATACAATAGTGAAGTGGTACAAATACATTTTTCAGATGCTAATTAGCTATAAAAGTTAACAATACATTTTTGGGAAGAAAAGCCTTTGTTTCTGAATTACAATTGGTAATGGAAGCTAATAACCAAAAGAGTATTTATCAGCTTCCTGTTACACAACTACAATTTAATGTTCTCCATATCATAAGTAATTTTTCTTTTTCTTACTCATTGATAGTGTTTGTGGCAATGTATTATTAAGTAGCAAATAAGACTCTGAGGCTTATTGGGAAACTGGCATAAAGTCAAATATATATGATTATATATCAGATTTTTACAAAACAAGAACACTGAAATTCGTCACAACACTGCTACTATGGACTATTAAACTTAAAATAATCATTTTAGAAAGCTATGTCATTTGAATTCTAGGAACACAAAAGTCAAAATTGCAACTCATCATTCTCCTAAGCAGCTGTTGAGGAGAGATATATCTTAGTATGGAGGATTTCACATGTCAAGTTCCAGCCCAGCATGGAAGGTTCCACGGCAGAATACTTAAATTTGAAATAACAGTGATACAAAAACACTATTTGACCCTTTAGGTATTGCAGTAAAAGCTGGCTGTGGCACCACTGGCTAAAATCCATTGTCTTGCTGCCACCAACAACCAAGGCACTTGGATAATCAAGAATTCCATACTGGGCCAAATGCTATGTACATACGTCTAAAGTGTACAAGAAGGGTCAGTACTCTGTGGCTGGCCTATGTGATACCTGTGGCCTTCACCTGCCAAAGACTGCAAACATATTTATGAAAGAAAATAAAAGAAAATTCACAGGACAAAAATTGTCATGATGTTTATAAAGGCAATGAATATTAACTAGTCCAGGCATTTCTTGTTATCCAAAAATAAAAACAAAGAGATCTATTTTATCCAAAATGACTTTCCTGTTATTTGATACCAAGAAATGCCCCCACCCCAAAGATTATTATGTAATAGTTCTTCGAATTCTAATGGGTATTCTGTTTACCATCCTAATTCACAACGTTGACAACATTTACCCCTTCTATATAACTTCCATTTTAAAATAAATTATTCTCCCTTAACGTCCCTGGATTTGTATGTTAGACCAGGACATGAGGCCAAAGGACCTCCAAATTGGATTCCAGGCATTCCTGTAACCAATACCAGTTCACAATTTCCTCATTTTTTAAAATCACAAGCCATGTGGTTTCAATGCACTTCAATTTTTATTCAATCAAAAAGAATTTAACAAGTCAACTTTTCCTAAACAAAACTTTATATGAACGTTCTGCCATTTTCTCAGCTCAGTAAATATAACATTAATTTTCAATATAAAAATTCTTCAAAACACTTTTTAAATATTTCAACAGTTGTACTTTGCATCTCTGCGTAATCACTGAGCCCATGAAATTCAAAAAACATACAAATCGTTGCATTACTAACAGTCATAAGCTTGAACCTCTTAAAAAACATCCTTGGTCAAAGCTTTGGAATCCAGTAAAAATTAGGAAACGAGTCGGATTCAGAATACCCTGAGCACAAACTAGTGCAACACCACAAAACATATTCGATCTTCTGTCCAGAAAGAGGGGTGGCAGTCAGGAAGGGGGAAAAAAGAGGAGGAATAAAGAGCAAATGAATCCTGGCTTTATTACACCAGCACGAAACAAATTCCTTTGGAAAAGAACGACTTCTTCGGAGGACTTCCAGACCAGTGAGGTAGAGTCCAAAGGGAGAAACGGATCTGCCCCCTAAGTCCTGGAGACGTCTCCAAGCGGGGTTCGGAAGCTAGGGGCGCCCGGCGCGGGTCCAGTCGTGTCCGGGTCCAACCATGTCCGGGTCCGCGGCGCGCGGGGCGCACGGAGCACACCTGTCCCGGAGCCCGCAGGCGGCCGCGTCCCGGGACGCAGGCCAAGCGTCGGGGCCTCCTCCGCGCATAAAGTGCACTGGGGGACGCGATCCCGGCCGGTTCTGTAAACACTCGACTGACACTTGTCCCTTCCTCGGGAGGAAGCTCCGCCCAGGCCCGCGGCCCGCAGGGGGCGCCCGCGGCCGCGCCTCACGCCCGGGGCACCGGGAAGCGGCGGAGCCTCACCACGGGCTCCAGGTCCACGCGCAGCACTTGGTGCGCCTTGCGCCGCGCCGCCGCCAGGCTGCGCTCGCCCCACACATCGCCGCCGACGCGGATGGTGGGGAAGGTGGTCAGCGTCGGGGTGGCCGCCCTCCAGATCTCCTCCAGGGTGCGGCCCCCGAAGCAGGGCGCGGGCGGCTTGGGCTTGTCCG